GGAAGCTACTCGTCGGGCTCCGGCGTGACGAGAGGACAAGCAGATTTTTTTAGCCCTGGTCATTAGTGATCAGGGTTATAGTAAAAACATAGCCCTAATCATCGTTGAACGGACCTTGCATAGGCGTGAGGACGCCAGGCTGCAGGGACCGGTCCACAATCCAGGCGGGATTGAGTATTAGGTGATATTTTTTTATTGGAGCCCCTTCACCAAAACGAGCAGTTCACCCACGCAGTGCAGGGGTAGCCCCACTGCACAGGTTAACTTTTTAGATTCCTGAAGTTCCTCTTTAAACAATGCCTGTCCTAACAAAGGGTAAAATATCTAGAAGCATCATGTTAGTGAGAGGAAGCTGAGTGTTCATGGTTTTTCTATGAGGACAGACAGAGTTTCCTGACACTTTGAAAATGTACAGAGAATCTTGCAGTCTATCCAAAGGCCTGCTACACAGAGACAGATAAAGGGTAAGACATATTATGTTTTATTATTATTATTAGTAGTATTATTTTTAGGTATTCTGTGTAAATGGGGACTCATGACAAACATGTAGGGGGGCTTTCTCCGATTTTAAACTGCAAAAGTAGAAATAAACTCTAACTCAAAATCACAATTTTGTATTAAGATTTTCTGTACAATGGTCCACGCTTATAAATTTGTCTTCCTTTTTTTTATTTTAAGATGTCTTTTATATGGGCTATGCACCTCATGTATTTCTGTTCAATAACTTAATTAACTTTATTGATCAGCAGATTTTATTCCACTGATGCATCACTTTTAGCATTCGTTCATCAAATTCAAGTTCATCAAATATTTTATTTTCGTTTGCCTGGATGGTGGCGGATTGACATGCTGGCCATTATCAGTAAGCCTCATTCTTATTATTGAATTTCTTTTATTTTCTAATAAAAGTATGTCTGTTTGGACGTGGGAGAGTGGAGAATAAAGAATGCTGACATATGTAAAGGGAATTACTAAAGGTAAATTTAGTAATTAGGCTGTTTACTTTCCAAATGGAATTTTGGTAGTAAATGTGATGAAAATTCACTTTGCAAAAAATATCCAATCATGTGCAAGTAAAAAAAAATGTAAAACTGTATTTTTGCTCGCACGTGATTGGATGATGGAAGTCAGCAGAGCTTCCCCTCATTCACTAAGGTAAGGGAAAATTCCCCTGCAAAGTGACCAGCCTATTTGCTTTTACTAAATCAGCCCCATAGTCTTCACTGCAAGCCTATGTGACAAGGATAAAACACAAGAGAAACATTAGGAGACAGGATAGAGTGTTGTCACCCCATTACAGGAAGTGTCTGAACAAGGCCCTTCATGGCAGATCACTAGATATTGTTATAATAAAATCTGCAGATTTAATAAGATTACTTTTGAATCTACAGTAACAGGTTAAAGCTTATATGAGGTATTAGTGACTTGGTTTAGATCTTCAAATTTTGTTATGTTGATTGATCCTTTAATGTGATTACACAATGCTAGATCAATGAGGTGGTCTGGCACACCAAACATAATTAATCCATAGCCAAATTAAAAATGTCTGGTCTACTTAACATTCATTATACTGTAAAGATCAAAGTATGTAGGACAGTCCATGTACATTTGCTAGGAACAATCTCCATATTAAAGAGTTGTAAAGTCCCGGCATATACTCTCCTATATAACATCAGTATTGTAATAGGAATACATACTAGAGTTGTTTTTCATAATGCAATCAAAGCTTACTTGATAAAAATCCCTTTTATATAGTGAGTGTTGTCTTTTGTCTGTCCATCACTTTCATCAACGTCCTGGATCCCAGTGTGCTTTGCATCTCTTTCCCTTCTGCTTGATGTGATGCAATCTTGATTTCTCAAGACTACATATCCCATCGTGCATTGCTTCCAGCAAGCAATGATAATGTTACATTGTTCAGATGTTGAGTTGTAGTTCAGAAGCCAGGCTCTGTGAGAGTTGTAACACAAGGAAGTGCACATTCACACGTCTGAATGGAATAGTGTCATTACATTGAGGAAGGACATCCTGTGGGCATCAGAAAAACCCCGCTGTGTCTTTTTTCTTTATTCTGACACGAGCAATGTCAGAATAGAGAAAAAAAAAAAAAGAAAAATTCCCATTCAAAAGCATTGGGACATTACTATTGGCTATTTCAATTTCAATAGCCAATAGTAAACTAGCATTGTACCCGCCCTCTTTTTCAGTTCCCCATCAGGTCCATCAGCAGAGGGGGGGTACAATGCTTGGTTACTATTTGCTATTGCAAATTGAAATAGCCAATAGTAAACTCCCAATACTTTTGAATGGGAATTCGTCTTTTTTTTTTTCTCTATTCTGACAACGCTCGTGTCAAAATAAAGAAAAAAAGTGGCTGATCCGAAGCCACACTAAGCAAGCCGATGTATGGCTGATTTCAGCCGATGTACGGTTGAAATCAGCCATACCAGCCTGAAGTGAATAGCCGATCTGGTCCGGACATGGTGTCCATAAGCCGGGTTATATTTTTTTAATTCAACCTGCGGGCTGAACAAAGAAAATATCACATATTCCTCCATCAACACTTATGATCGTGGAAGGAGAAATCCCCCGCTGTTTCCATTGTATTCTGACAGTGGCCACCAGCCACTGTCAGAATACCCGAACGAAGCTAGCAGCTGATTGACTGCAAGCTGTTTGGCCCAAAAATTTCCAACTTGCTCCTTCATTTAGCTGATCATTGAATGCGGACATGGGCACTCAGTGTGCGAATTTCTTGATGAACCAGTCGCAATTTGCACCGTGTATAGCCTACTTTAGTGCATACATTTTTCATAGAGTGCTTCCATGATGCTTGGGGAGCATGCTGGGCTTTCTAACAAGAGAGCTTAGCACTGCCTGCTTATTTATTGACTGCTTTTCTTTAACCAAACTGAGGGTTGTGTCTCTCCTCGAAGTCATTCAGCTATGTTTGTGTGTGTGTATATTAGGATCTCCAACTATTGTGGCTTATTTACAAAAAAACACTATTCATGGCATAGCAGCAAGTCACCTTGGTGGAGAGCTACAGAAAATCTGAGTGCACCACTTGCTCGCTATAAATAATAAATGTGAAATATTTACATGCGATATTTCATATTTCACCAACTAAAGAGATAAGATGTAATTTTATTTATTTATTAAGTTCTACATTTTGTTTTTGTATATGTCCTTTAACATAAAGAAAATATACAAACAATTACAATACATTTCCTCTAAGCAAACGGACATCAAAGCTTGGCTTCTAGTGACACAAACTTCAAGGAATGGTAATTGAAGTTTCCAGCGAGATATCAAAGATCAAGCCTGTTAGCCTTAATTCATGCATGGAGACATCAAGACTGCGGTTGGGATTTTCATTTTGCACAATTACTGCAATCACCAAATGATCTGAAAACACCACCTGCCCACCGTAAGGTTTCCCTAACAACCACTGTTCAAGTCATTTAGCAATACCACTTCATATTCCTGGTTTCATGGAAAAGGTCACTTTTACAATTTGCTCACTAGCGAATGACAGTGGAAATGTTAGCTCGGAAGATCCGTGGTGTCATAGTGTAAGCATGATACACAGTTTGAACAAATGTTACAAAAATTCCAGATGATGGTGGTCCAACCAACAGTAACCTATGTACAATGAACTAGCGCAATATATGTCAAGTTTTCCTATTTACCTATAAATCACCAGTAAATTATACCAAAACCAAATTGTCTTCTCTGCTTTGGTGATACAAATGTCTCATCAACAGGGCTTCTGATTTTCCATAAAGCATTTCAAGACTTCTGAAGTAGATCTTTCAGGAAGTCTGCATGAATAAATTCTTGGCATGTCACAATATACAGCAACAGTGACTTTTTTTTTTTGATTGTACCTTTTATTATTAAAAAGCAGCCCTTGACTGAACCGAATTTCCCTCGTCTGAAATAATGTCATCTGTCTGCTGCAGAAAAGAGCAAGTACATTGTCCAAAGTCACCACATGAATTTAGCTGAGCAAATAGGACAGAGCCTTCCATTGGATAATAGGTCCAGGTTCAGCAATGTTATATCCCCAAAATATGAGCTCAGCTGCCTACCTGAATATACTAAATGACCAGGTTTTTCCATCAATTGATTTTTTCTTCCCTGATGGCACAGGCGTATTCCAAGATGACAATGCCAGGAGGTGAGAGAGTGGCTCAGGGAGCATGAGACATCATTTTCACACATGGATTGTCCAGACCTTAACCCCATTGACAATCTTTGGGAAGGGCTGGAGAACACTTTACTTAGTGGTCTGACTCTCCGAACATTACTACAAGATCTTGGTGAAAAATGAATGCAACTCTGCACAGAAATAAATGTTGTGACATTGCATAAGCTTATCAAAACAATGCCATGGTGAATGTGCGCCGTAATCAAATCTAAAGGCAGTCCATCTACTTTTTTTGGGAAAGGTAGTGTATTTTCTTATGCTAACCATACATGTCTCGAATGTCACCCGATTCCTGCTGAATCACCTCAAATTTGAGCTTTGGGTGGCCTTGTTGGCACCTCCAGGCTTGCCAAAAGTCAATTGAAAAATCTACTGAGCCGGGTTGGAAAATTCTCAGCCCATTATTTTTCTTAATTTCCACCATCGTTCTACTTAGCCGCAAGCTTTGTATGGAGGAAAATCAACTGATCGTGTCAAACCAGCGTCACAAACTCAACACTGTTATTCACTGGGTATTTTGCACTCATCCAGCTTCTAACTTTGAGCCCTGAATTTTAACATTACCAATTTTCTGGGGCCCATTTTAAACACTGCTGCAGAACCACCTGGAACATAAGTTGAATTGTTGCTTATGACCAATTATATTCCTTCCTTGAAAAGATGAAACCTAATAGGTTGCTCTATGAAAATTCCTTCACTTTTGTTCCATTTTTGTTTCTCTAACTGTCATTGGTCATTTTTAAAATGCATAAGACAACAATATCTTCACCTAAGTCCATAATCTTACCTTACTGGAATGAGGTCCTGGCAGCAGCAGTTTCAGAGCCTGCCTCTTCAGCTCTACTAAACGTGCATTGCAATTCTCACACCATACACCTCTGTCAGACCCCGGAGAAGATCCTCCACCACTACCAGAGCCAGGAGATCCTGTGCCAAATCCTGGAGATCCACCTAGTGATCCTGGAGAGCTGTTTCCAATTCCAGGGGATGCAGGTCCAGGCGACCCAGAGAAAGAGCCAGGGGAGGAGGTTCCAGAGCCAGGGGAAGGAGTACCAGATGAACCCGGTATGGATCCTGCACCTTCCGGAGCAGGCCTACTACCAGCTCGAGACTCCTCATAGGCTTTTCTATACCAGCTCTCAGGAGAGAAAGGTGCAGATGATTTTGTGGGCGAGCAAACCTCATTGACCTACAGGAAATAAAAGAAAAGTACATTGGAACAGTTCTCTGCTGCACAAATGTTATCACAGACAGTACATTGGTTGAAGCACTGGTTCTGTATTTATTATGGTGCTTTATATCAAAATGCAAGGCACACTTATCCACACTCCGTTGAATTAAGCAATAAAACACACACACGTTAGAAATAAAGTTAAAAATATGCTTATCTTACAATCACTCACATTAGTGGTGCCTAGGCAAAGGTGGTGTCACCAGTAGGGATGAGTTCGAATTCAGACTTGGTCAATGACATTGATCTACTATGACAATGTGGCTATATAAGGTCAAACATCCCCTTTGTTTACATGGAGCTGTGGGGCATGGAATGCCCCAGCCACTGGTGATTGGGCTTCCTGCTAGGTTCAGATGAGCTCAGTTTCGGTCCGAACCCAAGCTCATCCCTAGTCACAGCCTTCAAACGAGATCCAGGGAATTCTAAAGATTCCAAATCAAGCAATACAATGCTCCAGCATGTGAGAAACTTTGGATCCTCAGTTTTCCCAGGGTCTCGCTGGGAGGCCCATGATGCCACTCATGCTTAGGAGCTTCAGGAAAAGGCTGAGGTGTAAGGAAACAGTATTTTTCCCTAACGTGACTTTTTTAGTGTTTAATTCTGCGCAATACACACAGAATACAGGGGTATTATGGATAAGCATACCTTGGACTTAATGAATAAACCAGAAAAATAATAGTTACTGACACACATGCTTTAGTCATAAAATCTGCAGAGAACTAATTAAGAAAATAGCAAAAATATTGCCTAATATTTGTGCGGAATGAGTGGTGAAACCTGACTGGCTGCTATTGGCATTTCTACTTTCCTTTCCTCAATATCTCTTTTCCCGTTTTAATGGATCTACAGCAAAAGGGTAATTTTATATTACATTATCAAATAAATATTTAATGGTTGAACACACACTAGTGCAGTTCTCTATACCTCATTTTCATCACAGTTGTCTTTTCTACACATTATACTTACACATCATAATTGCCGAGTCCCTACCTCATCATTTCATCATAGCTGTCATACACCTACAGCTCAGTCTCTTATCAATGTTACCTTATGTCACAACTCCATCATTGCAGATATGTATAACAAACACAGCATTACTATTACAGCACCATTTTATCTCCATTAGTTATATAATATCTATAATTATAAATATTCTGTTTCCAACAGCTACACAGAACTGTTATACTTTCACTGCCATTACCTAGACTAGAAAATGAGATTGCTTTGAATCTTTTCTTGTTTTGGCACCTTTCTCATTCAACCAATGAAATATTCTTCTCCATAATAAAAAGACATATGCAAAGGTTTCTCTCTGATTAAGGCTGGATTCCCACCACTTGCTTTTAGCACACCTCAGTTGATGTGCGTTGATATACGCTTTTTTACCAACCGAGACTTAAAAGAGAACTATGGGGTAAGTGTTTTCCCCCATAGTTCTCTTAAGGGTCACGGGAGGACATATAATGGCCTCCTCCCGTGACCCAAAGCTCAGTATATGGCAAGCTACAGCTCGCAGTATACTGAGACAACCGCATCCGGGACGGATACCGACAATGCTGTCAAGATCCACCCAGCTGGGTGAATGACAACTGGCTCCGCCTATCTAGAGGCAGAGCCAGCTGTGCCCACCCCCTCTCCCATCCATTCCTCCACTCGGCGTTGGAGGATCGGAGAGGGGAGCGGTGACTGACAGTCACTGCTCTCTGCAGGGTGATGATCAAGAAGTGAGTGAGCGACGGTATGTGTTCGCTCACTTCCCGATCTATTGAGCCGACCTGTGACAGTTTCATTGTCACACGTCGGCTCGAACTATGAGGAGGAGTGATGTTCACTCACCTCATAGTTCTTCTTTAATCCTTGCAATGTGCAGGCAGCCCCACTGCAAGGGTCCTTTTTTGTTTGCTCAGAGATAGGCTTTAAGGATGACAGGTAGAGACTAGAGAGACATGTAAGGCCTGGTTCACACCTAGACGACTGAGCTGTTTTCGCTTGTCTGTCGCACAGGGTTTTTTTTATGAGATCTTGCTTTGAAAACCATTTCAATGCATAGAGAAGTCTATGGGACCAAAATCGCGCGGCATCCACCTCAAAATATCTCCTGCATCTTTCTGCGTGACAGCAACGCAAAAGGTGTGAACAGTCTCCATTGACTTGAATGTAAATCTCTGTTTTGCGTGGTAAATCGTCTAGGTGTGAACCAGGCCTAGAGATCCAGGACTGATCTACATTTAGTAACATTATAATAATGTATTCTTGGAGGAAGATGCCAGTATGTAAAAAAAAAAAACAATTGCGCGCAGATATTTTAGATTGGGATTTGAAAATAAGATGTACCTAGTATGCAAACATTGACAGCCACCCCTTACAAAGTCTCCTCAGCTTATTACCATTATAGTATAAGGACAAGAAAAGCAGCTGGTTTATTAAAGATTATGATTTGCAAACTCTTGTGCAAAATGCAATTTCTAAAGAAAATCTACAAACCGTACCATCATTGCCAAGCCTCTTTCTGTGACCTTAGGCTGTAACAACATTCATCTTCAAACAAGCAGCCAGCAATGAGCACCGTGCCCTTCCATTTGATCTCCAAACTACGCACGGCAGCAAATGGCTTCTACTGGTTTACAAACAAAATCAGCTTTGCAAACAGACCTGAATGCAGGAGGAAACCACTGGAGTTTAAGTGGGCTAGTAATAGTAAATTACCTGTGCATGATTAAAGCTTCAGCTCTACAGCTCTGACACAAGAGTGTCTCATGAAAGAGTGCCTGAAAATCCACAGTGTCTGAAACCATAACGGCATTTCAATCCTGTTAAGTCTGCAGACATGGGATCAATAGTCAGCCCTGTAATGCTATATAATTTGGGACAACCAATTGTAAACTATGGCACAGTTCAGCACTTAATATGACCAGACCATTAAAGTGAGCCGCACATGAAAATGCAAAGGATCTTCGTCTTGGAACCCCCACCCTCTAAATAAAAAAACACCATAAGAGAAAGCCACGAAGAAGAATGCAAAAAATACTTACCTTAGACCCTGGCTTCTGTTGGCCTCGCCTAGGGGAAGGTGTCACTTGGCCTTCTCATGGATCCAGGGCAAAGCTGAGCATCTCACACCAACCGTGAATGTGCTCCTGCACAGTTCAGGAACATCTTCTTGGGAGATATGAGTTCTCAGCTTTCCTTGAACATACTTTTTTTAGGTCAATCATGTGAAGTATGATGATGACCACCGAGGAGATTGCGCCCTTGACGTTGAACTCTGGAGAAATGTTAGTTATTCTTGCAGTGGAGTTCCCCCAGCACTGCAAGGGTTCAATGCTTGTTTAAATCTAGTAAGCAGTTTAACTCACCTTATTCCACACTATCCCAGCACACTATCCCAGCAGCTTCCTCTCCAATGTTCCAGGTTCTGAGAGGGCCTCCTCACTCGCAATGTAGGATTACTGGTCCTGCATTTCATCTGATGACATCAGAGTGCCTGAAAACAGGCTCCAAGGGACCAGGAGGAAGTCTGAAGGAGTGAGGGATAAGCTAATGCT